TTTCTAATTCAAATAAAAAATGGTTTAAAAAATTAAGTTTCATTGCTCTGAAAAAAAAACAAAGAAATAAATATGCAATGTTTCATGAACCCCTGTGCCATCCTTTCACAGGGGCCATCATACCCTCCTTATCATCCAATATTAGTTTATATGCTGTTGGAAGCAAAAACTAGAGGATGCTTTTTTGACACTGAAGAAAATGACAAGCCTAATCCACATTGAAGAAAAGATTACCATAACTGCATAGAAACTACAGTGAAAGGAATCAGAAGACTCAGAATACAGACTGAAGGTGTAACTCAGACATGCTGTAAGAGAGGTCAAGCTTAAAACTCTAAAACTGTCCTGACAATAGCAACACACTAAATCAAAACTTGTCACAGCATATGGGGTGACAGAATTTAATGCTGCCTCCAAAACTTTAAGAATGCAAGGATGAGTGCCAGGATAGGCTCCAAAGCTACATAGAGAAACCCTGTCTCGAAAAGCCAAAAAAACAAAAAACAAACAAAAACAAAAACAAAAAGAACGCAAGGATCGATCCAGGTGTGGTAGCATAGGCATGTAAGCCCCGTCCTCAGGATGGAAGAAGAATCACAACTTCAAGGCCCCCTGCTCTATATATAAAGTTTGCAAGCCACCCTGGGGATAGGAAAGGGAGGGACAAAGGTAGGAAAAAGGGGTGGGGGAAGAACTGAGAATGAGTACGATGGTACCTGTCATATTCCCATTAATTCAGAAGTCTGGATTCTGGGAAACTAATGGATATGGCAGATGACAAGTAACCAAGCTTGGTAAGTAGTGGATACAGAAACTTAGCATAGCTCAGTTACCTGAAGTACAGCAGGGATCTGGTAAATGAGCTTTCCATACCTGTCTAGAAGACTATTATAGGATGGTAACATTATACAATCATAATCTTGTCCTAAAATGTTCACATGCCTTCTGTCACCTTTAACTGTTTGGCCTTTTGCAGAACATCACACCAGTCTAAGTGTTTCAATGCTCTTATGATTATTGGCCTAATAAGCATTTAAGTGTGAAGTACACTGGAGGGCATACTAAGGCATGGAAGACAACTTACAGAAAAATTCAGAGACCTTACACATCCATTTTGAGGGGTTCAATGATCTGGGCATTTCCATCCAGAGTGGAAAACAGCCATTTCCACTTATTAGGACAGCAAGTACATTTGCTAGGCTCCTTTGGGTTTTAGAAATGACAGGTTTTACATTTGGAATACTTCTATGTCCCTTTTGTCAGTTGATACAGAGGCTGGTGGCCTGGGTTGGGGCCCAGGGTAAGAAAGATTCAAGGCTGAGTATGAGTAACACCATAGCTTGGCCCAGGGTAAGAAAGATTCAAGGCTGAGTATGAGTAACACCATGGCTTGGTCCACATAACACTGTAAAACCTTTAGCCATCTGGCTCAAATACTTAGTCTTTTATAAACTGCTAAATACAACTGATCCAAAGTTTAGCTGATATGCACTTAATATATGCTGGTCCCTGTGCTGAAAAGCTGTAGACAAACATATCAAACTTAGTCATTGTTCCCAAGAAGCCCAGAGTCCAATTTTACTCTATTTGCATATTTAATTAATCCATTACTTTTCCTTCCTCTGACATTTTGCAAGGAATTTGGGGGGGAGGGGGTCAAATGGGGAAGACACTCACTCAAGAACAAATTTCTTAAATAATATATATTGCAAATCAGGTGTGATAACACAATTTTGAGATTGAGGCTAGGGCAGAATGATCCCAAATTCAAGCCCAGCCTAGATTACCTAGTGAGATATGTCTGAGCCAGTAAATACCACAAATTGGACTAAACCATTACCTATTATTGATGAAAACATGTAGTTGTAATTCTTTGCCAATAAGAACCAGTGTTTACTGAGTACTATGTGCCATATTATTTCAGCAAACAACTCACTCAAGGTAGATAAGGGGTAGTAGAACTAAGATGAGTTATGGGCTGCTGCTGGCACCCCAAAGATGTTTTTCCTCCCACTAAACAACTACATGCTATTTCCTCTGTAGTGAGAAGCTGCTAGGCAAGTGACTTTACCACTGCACCACACACCCCCAATCAGGACTTTTTTCTCTTTTGGTAGCCCAGGCTGGCCTCAACTTTACAAGGCACATAAATTTTTGTAGAGGATATTCAAATGTCCTCCCTCTAGGATCATTAATTGCCAGGAACTGTCTCTCAAACTAACTTTGACAGTGACAATGGCAGAAGGAAGTGTTTCAAGAACACAAAAATCCTGCTAGTAAGCAACTCAAAATCAGAAAAAGAAGAAAAAAGTACAGCTAGACATCACAGGAATAGAAACGACAATAATTTTCTGAGGCTAGGGTTGCCTATTTTATTCTTACCAGCTTCCACACAGACCAACATTTGTGTTTCAGTTCAAGGGTACATCATCATATTCTATTTAAACAAAACTATAAATCCTTAAAAATAAATGCTAAACACTGAATTAGAACAAAGCAATCAAGTATTGTTTTTAAAATTTTTATTTATTCATTTTTATTTTATGTGCATTGGTGTTTTGCCTGCATGTATGTCTGTGTGAGGGTGTCAGATCTTGGAGTTACAGACAGTTGTTAGCTGCCATGTGGGTGCTGGGAATTGAACCCAGGTCCTTTGGAAACGCTGTCAGTGCTCTTAACTGCTGAGCCATCTCTCCAGTCCTCAAGTATGTTTTATAGTTTTATATACAGCTTTTCTGTTAGGATCTGGTAGGCTTCTTAAAATGAATTTAATGAAATCCTATAAGTACTCATTGATTCTTAAACCATCATCTGATAGAAAAGATATAATAAAATAAATATTAATAGTCCAACTATTTGAGTGTCCCCCAAATTAAAAAAAAAAAAAAAAAAAAGATGAGAGGCCATAGAGATGGCTTAGTGGTTAAGAGCACTGACTGTTGTTCCAGAGGACCTGGGTTCAATTCCCAGCACCCACATGGCAGCCCCAATTGTCTGTAACTCCAAGATCTCACACCCTCACACAGACATAAACACTAATGTACACAAAATAAGAATAAATAATTTTTTAAAAGACTAATCATAAAAAGACTACACATCTAAACAGGTGTGGTGTTGCATGCTGTTAGTTCCAGAACTTGGGAGGCACATCTGTGAGTTTAAAGGGGGAGTTATGAACACTGGCTGCTCTTCCAGAGAACCTAGGTTTGACTCCCAGCATCCACATGGTGGCTTACAAATGTCTCTAGTCCCAGGGTATCAGACACCCTTTTCTGCCCTCTATAGGTACCAAAAATGCACATAGTACAGATATACATATAAGCAAACACCCATACACATAAAACAATAACTTAAAAAAAACCAACAAAGACACCTCTGAACAGAAGACAAAATCCCTTCTTAGAGAATTCCCAAGGTGAAATTCACAGAACTGCAAGAGCAGAAGAAATTTTGCACTCAGAAATATTGTACTGGACTGGTGATGAAATTTAGAGTAGTTTGGTGATGTGGGTGGATGTCAGAATCTGGGCCAGAACACAAATTTTCTCACTTCTAGATATACTCTCTCTTTTCACCCACTACACTGCTCTCTGCTTTACAATGTGTGTGTACCTTTGGGCAGTCAGAGTAAAAAATTCTGGAGTAATTAGACCAGGTATAGCTACTGACCTAACAATGGATGAAATTAAACAATGCCATGAGAATTCATTTGAGTATAAAGAGTAGAAGAAAAATAGAAAAGGAACTGTAGACAACAATTAACAGAAGCACTAGAGGAAATAGTCTCCTCTTTTGTACTGTTATTTTATTATCATTATTTATTTTGTTAAGTCCATATATTATATAAAACATAACAGGAAAAAAATCAACGAATCTATAAAATAAATTGAAAATGTTTGGATGAAAAAACACAGGAGCTTTGCCTTCATGTCTATAGATCTCTCATTAGGTCTTGCATCTTAAGTATCAAGGAAAGATATCTAGCTTGAAACAAAAGTTGACATGCTGCAAGGTTAAGGGGCAGTCATTTTGGTGATGGGCCAGGAAATAATAGATTCTTTAAACCTTATCCTAAAATATTGGCTATAATAAATGCTGATATGCAAAACACAAGCTTTTATCAGACAGCAAGAAGAAAACCTGAGTGAATGAATATAACTTGCCTCCTAGTCCTCTGAAAGGAGGTAAGCAAATAAATACTGTGTCTTACCACTGTTCACCCCAAAGCATTATTCTAAGCATGCAGGAGGGTGCTATGAGCAGCTACAACCACTCAGATCTACCCAGAGGTAAGTTCAAGGCCAAGAAGAGGAGAGTGGCTGAAGAAATTCTCCTGGGGCTAGTACCATTTCAGAGAATGCCCATTTATGCTAGGAGATAAGTCTATAGCCTATATTCTTTTCATTCAAAAGGACAGTCCCTGTTTTAGCCTTGCTAAAAAAGAGGCACTCTTGCACCTGCTACTGACAACAGCTAAGAAACAGGATAAGCCTGGCATAAAGTTATTTAGCAAGCACATGCTAGCTATTCCAGTTTGAAATCTACCAAACTGCAAATGTGAAGGGAAATAAAATATTGAAGATGGAGCTGTTCAAGGTGAAGAACAAAAAGAGGGTTAGGCACTCTCTCAGCTCTGTATGGAGAACTTCTGTCTCAAGCTAGGCAGGAGATAAGAGTATTATCAAAGGCTGACCAGTCCATTTCAAGACCAAAATAGGAGGGTGGGGACAGCAGGAAGAAAGCTAATAAAAGGAGTATTTCTGGGTCTGATTAAGAAGTGAGTCTAAGGCAGCCACACCAAAGGTACCTGACTTACGGCTCTGGCAGCAACCCGGGGGCAAAATATTTTAAGATATTTTCAATCCAGAGAAGTGTGTAAAAAATGTTAAAGTTAATTGAGCAAATTAAAACCAAAATTCCAACAGTAGGAATCTCTTCAGATCTGAAATCAAAGAAACTTACTTTTCATCAATTTTGTGCAGTATTAGGAAAAAAAAAGGTAACAAATGTAAAGATTTGTTTTATTTCTACTGGGGAAAAGGGAAGAGTAGATAAAACTGTTACCAATTGGCTGTCCACTGTGTACACACATACCCACATACATACATACATATACATACACACCAAAAGTTTCCCCCCAAAAAACAAAAAACCACCCTCAAACTGTACCAATACTTCATATTTTGACCAAAAGAATAGATCCTGGGAAGAAGTGCAAAATGCAAAATCAAATGACCAAGAAATGCTGAACAAACAGCATTATTAATATACAAAATATTTATATTACTGAACTAGTAACAGGTGATGTTCTCTGTGTCTGTAAAACTTTGGAACAACAGAGCTGATTGTTAAATCTAGTCCATGCCAGCTTCCAAACCCCAGAGGATTTTAGTTAGCTTCATTTTTCGATGCTTCATCAAAATTTTCTACAAGATCTGACAAAGAAAGGGGAAAAAAATAAATAAAAATGCAAATGAATCAAAATAGTTGCAACCAGCATTAGCCAAAAAACAGAAAAGGCAGAAATGAACTTATGACATTTCAGTAATAATGACTTTTATAAAACAGTAATCTTATGGAAATGGCCTTTAAAAATGTATGTAAAAACACAAAAGTGAATAACATTTTTATGTCAGTTTAATGTTAACAATTTTTTTAATTATTTTATTATTTTATGTGTATACATGTTTTGCCTGAATGTATGTCTGTGTACCATGTGCATACAGTACCCGAGGAGACCAAAAGAGGGTGATGGATCCCCTAGAACTTGGGTAAAAGAAGGCTGTGAGCCACCATGTGAGTGCTGGAAACTGAACCCAGGTCCCCAGGAAGAGAGGCCAGTACTTTTAATTGCTGAGCCATTTCTCTAGCCTTCCAACAAAAAATTTCAACAATAAAAATGTATACTGATAATAGGAGTGGTTTCAATTTAATACATGCAGGAAACAGAGCTTTGTGGAATATTTTCTGATTCTAAGTTCTGAATGACGAAATTTTTGTATTTTTATTCATCATATCCTATCACTGGGATCTCAGTCTGTACTCCATGGTCTTTATGAACTCTGCCTAAAGAATTTAGACAAAACACAAAGAAATAGCATATAAGACAGGTAAATTAATTTATAAAGAAGTAGAGCACACTCAAGGAGTACGTGTGGACAATGCTTAAGGGACCATTGACCCAGACTACATTTTAGGTAGGCTGTATACTATTTCTAAAGTCTCCAGAACAAACAGCTTTTTAAAATTAAATTTTATTTTGTGGATTTTCAAGACATGGTTTCTTTATGTAACAGCTCTGGCTGTCCTAGAACTGACTATGTAGACCAGGCTGGTCTTGAACTTATAGAGGTCCACCTACTTCTGCCTCCCAAGTACTGGGATTAAAGGCATTTGTCACCACCAACAGGCTACAAACAGCTTTTCTTTAGGGACTGTATTCTGTTCAGGTAAGTGACAGGCCTGTTTGGTTTGACACTGATGTAAGGCAATAGTGTATCTTTGTTCTTTATCAGATAGCCTTCTACTATACAATAATCTTTTATGAAGGTTTAGCATTCCTGGAACCAGGCTTAGATAGTATTATATAATGGCAGTTCAGGATGTCATGTCTCCTTCCATGGCCAGAGATAGAACTTAGGGAACATTTTTCTGACCTTAAGTTCCAGTCTTTGGTTTTACAGGCTGATAATTATGAGAGAGGGGTCCATCTCCAGTGTCTTCCAAGCCAACTAATATCTAAGTAAAACCCATCACTATCCATATCACTGCAAATCAAATGAAATTCAGTCAAAAAAATCTGAAATTCATCTATGCAAAAAGGGAAAGGAGATAAATTATTTTCCTTAGTTTAAAAAATGACACTGTATTATTTCATATGTGTGTACATGCACGTGCATGTGTAGGTCAGAGGACAACTTGTGCAAGTCTTACTGGCCTGAGACAAATCTTAACACTAACAAAATGTCATTTACCTGGAACATCATCATCTTCTTCATCAATGTCCTCTGGTTTTGGTGCTTTACTATCCAATACTATAAAGAGTTTATGTGAATATTATTAGTCACTGAGAACAAAGAACACTTCTAATACTTATCTCTGTCTAAATCTCCTATGGCTATTAAATACAGTCAGTTTAAAATTCACTTTTAATTTTTTGTGTAAGTAACATAAAAAACTAATATTTTAAATTAAATATATATTAACTATAACTAATTCCACTGTGCAGTAAAAGTAAAAGTTACATGCAAAATGAAGAATTTTACAAGCTTGGGCAAAGAATTATTCTTCACATAAAGTATTCGAGATTTCTTTTTTTTCCACTTCATTTGACCTAAGAAACTAGCTATGTAGTATGACCAAATGATCACTAAAATAAGAGGCTTTTTGATGGTTAGAGACAACAAGACATGCCTGAAATCCAGAATGTATGATTACCATGTTTATAATGGTAATCATAGTGGTAATCGACAATATTGTATGTAAATATTCTATAATACACACTTCATTAACTGAAAAAGCAAACTATAAGTTTTATGAAGCACACAGGTGGTGTTATAGAAAGTATAAGAATTATCTGCTGAGGCAAAGCCTCTCAGTTTAACTAAGAAACTTTTTTTTTTTTTTGAGACAGGGTCTCTGGCACAGGTTGGTCTCAATTTCCCTAGACAGCTGAGGATAGCCCTGAATTTGTGACCCTTCTGCTAGAATTACAAGCATGAGCCATCACATCCATTCAGCCAAAACCTTATGCATACTAGGCTAGGACTCTGTCAACTGGGATACACCCTCAGTTTCAGATGGGATGTTTTTTTTAAATTACTAGGTTTCTTAACTAAAGCGGGGAAGAGGGGGAGAGTACTAAATTGAAATACATACCTTGTCGTGGGAACTGTTCAGCTAACTTTCTAAGGCTTGTTAAGCTGTCAGCACCAAGCTGACTTAATATTCCAGGAAGCATTTCTGTGATCGGTTTGGCTTCTGCATGACCAGTAATTGCAAAGGTGTTAGCGGAGAGGGAAGCTTGGACTTTGGGGTTATTGAAATGAATGACTGTTCCATCATCTTTAATCATGTTCACCTGTGTGGGCACAAAAAACAATGTATCATATGCTAGATTCAACTAGAAATACCTTCAAAAAAGGCAGTTTTATCAATTATGGCATTTTACACAGTAGCAATCCCAGAGCAGTAATTAGCTCAGCTAATTGGCAGAGAAAGATCCCTGCAATGGAGTACAATGGCACTGGATAGCAGAGATACTAGAATTGTTAAGAAATAGTCACCTAGGCCTAGAAGTGGAGGAAGTTCAGTTTTTGGGGTTTGGGGGTGGGGGGTTGAGTCAGGAACTGTTTGTGTAGCCCTGGCTGTCCTGGTACTCAAGAGATTTTTCTGGCCTCTGCCTTCTGAGTGCTGGAATTAAAGGTATTTATTTCTTTTTTAAAACTTTTTTTTTTTTTTTTTTTCAAGACAGGGGTTCACTGTGTAGCTTTGAAGCCTATCCTGGCACTTGCTCTGTAAACCAGGCTGGCCTCGAACTCAAAGAGATCTGCCCGCCTCTGATTCCTGAGTGCTGGGACATAGGCCACCACCTCCTGGCCTTAAATTTTTTATTTATTACTTTTATTATTGTATATGTGCGGGATGGGTGTACATGTGGAGGCCAGAGGCAGCACTGTAGTCACTATATGTGCATGATGGGGTACGTGTGGAGGTCAGAGGCAGCACTGCAGAGTCTTCTCTTCTCCTTTCACTTTTGTGTAGGTTCTCAGGCTCTGACTCAGGTCATCAGGCTTTTGAAGAGTATCTTGCCCCCCCCCCTTTTTTTTAATTAGACACAAGGGTCTTGTGATGCTGTCCTTGAGTAGCTGATGCTACGGTGTGTTGCTAGTTTGGCATGCTCTGGGATACTCTGGGGTATGCCAGGTGCTAAGCTAAGTCCATCCCCAGCTCTTTTTTATTTTGAGATAGATTCTAAGTTCCAGGCTAGGCTTGAATTTATAATCCTCCTGCCTTAGCCCTTTAAGTATCTGGGACTACAGATCTACACCTACAAGCCTGACAATTTTCTCTAATTCTTAAACACACCTTCTCAACCACTGTCACTCATATCTATAAACAAAGCTCTGCCACTCACTCACCCTCCACGACACGCGTTATTAATAATCAAGAGTCCTTTAGCACCACCTGCCATTATTTCTTTAGCTTTTACCGATCTGATCTGATTACTTCACATTAATTTATTTCACTATCTTGGGATTTATAGAAACAGAAGAGCGAATACATACTATATAAGTTATTTCTCTCTCATGTATCTTTCTTCATTTGTTGTTGTTTGGTATGATCTCACTTACACAAGTTAAATGTGTAAATGTCATTCCACCATGTGGTTGATTCCACTATGAAAGTCACCTTGATGATAAGCGTTTATTATATAAAAAGGTCAGGAGAGCTACACTTAACTACTTCAGAGGCATAAACTGTGCTTGTCCATCACACAGGGGCTGAGTGCTATCAATGTCAGTGGGAAGTGGGCTTCTCTTCTTCAGAGGGGACCACCACTGACAGCACAGGGAGGACAGGGGCTTCTAAAGTTTCAGCCAAGACTTTAAACAGAGAAAATACAGACATATCCCTGGAAATTACAAAATAACCCCATAAATAATTTCTAATTTTTTGTGTGTGTGGCAAAAATCACTAGCTGGGCCGCAGTAGTACACACCATTTATCCCAGCACTCAGTAGACAGAGGCAGGGTGATCTCTGTGAGGTCTAGGCTAGCCTGGTCTACAGAGTGAGTTCCAGGACAGCTAGGGCTACACAGAGAAACCCTGTCTTGAAAAACAAAGTAAATAAACAAGCAAAAAGGTAATAAGTAATCTGCTATCTAATTTTATACCCTTCCGTTTCTTAGCACTGCACTGGACTGTATTTAAGGATCTTTTAATGTTTTGTTTTGCTTTTAGATAATCTCACTATGTAGCCCTGCCTGACCTTGAACTTACATAAATCTACCAGCCTAAGTCTCCCAAATGCTTATCGTGTAACACTATGCCCAGTTAACTTTAGGCTCTTTTAAGTATATCATTTGAAATAAGCATTCAATACTTCTGCTTTAAACAAGTGCCATCATTAACTCAATTTATAGTAACTTTAGAAGATAAATTATATTATTCTGAAGATGACTGCAGCTTTGATAGAAAAGTTAAATATTAAAGTGGCTAAAAGCCTGGGAGGCCAGGGAGGTAACAGTGGATATAAAGGGAACTGCCCTGGATCTACTCTAGAGTCCCATGGTTTGCCCAGAGACAATAAAGGAAGAATGTTACAATAGTGTTTCCCAAATCACATGGCTCAATAAAGGATTTCTACAAACACTTCTGGGCATAGAAAATGGCAACATTAGAGTTTGAGACATTCTTGACTTAAAGACATTAAAGTCATAATTGATTTGAAATATATATATTATGCTAGAGAAGTACTGCTCTTGGTTAAACACTATACCCCAGGACAAACAGCTGCTTAAGTATGAACTAGTATGAACTTACTGTTTGGTTTCCTTCCTACTATGTCATCCTCATGCTTAAAACATTCATTTTTTATAAAACTCCAATTCTGTGCAAGCTTGTCAAATATTTGCCTCAGAATATAGGTCAAACAGAAAAGAAAAAAACATTACACATATGTGGAGAATGTGTGTATGTGTGTGTGCGTATGTATCTCACTGGTTACAAACACGTCAACATACGATCAAAAATAACTCATTTATGAGTTTGGGCTTCTCTTCCAGAGGCTGGAGGTTGAGTCCTGCATGTCTTTTCAGTGTAAAATGCTGTTTGTCTCACTTGAGTGTAACAAGTAAGATGAGCTCCACTTCAGACTGTGATTAAATTTATTCATGATGGTTTTAAATGGGGTGGTATAAAGGATGCAGCTGCACGAATAGAAAGGCCCAGAAGAGTGAGTGTAAAGTTAATCTTAGAATATAGAGAATGCAATACTGGAAATTAAAAAGGCCAGAATATTTCATTTCTGGTGTGTTTTCCTTCCATCTTACTAAGCAAATGGCAGTTTTGTAAATCTGCTGGGCACAAGTTGTGAGAAACAGCCAAAGGATGAATTACAAGGCTAAGCAAGATCAGTTCTGCTCTTTCAGGCAGGAGAATTCACAAAGCAAGCTGTATACATTTCATATGTGTTTAAGTCATGCAATGAATATATAGACAAAGGGCAGCTATCCTGCTGGCCTCAAACTTGTAATCAATGGATTTCTCTTATTCTAAGAGATATCTAGACTCTCCAATCACAGTGTTTCTGAAAATCATTATATGATTTGTTTTCTTCAAGTCAGGGTGTCACTATGTAGCCTTGGCAAGCCTAGAACTCACTATGAATATCAGGCTGGCCTCAAACTCACAAAATCCACCTACCTCTGTCTTGTGCATGCCTGAAGGAAAGGTGAGAGCCACAACAACTGGCCCATTACATGTTTTCATATATGCATGTAATGCTGTAGAGCTTCTTTTTTCCCTCACAAGAAGCTACATTTAACCCAAAAGTACACAAATAAATCAAGCTATCTATAGTACTCTACATGTTCCTAAACAAAAATAGTTTAAAGCTGTAAAAGGTATGTAAGCAAATGTCTTGCTACTGAAAAGATTAACTTCAGGAAGACAAAAAAAAAAGAAAAAATAATACAACTTTTCATCTTGTTGGTTCAAATAACTGAAAACTTTACAGTTGCTACTTTGTATCATTAATTACTTCATGTATATTTTCCTTTACCTATAGCCTGTGAAGACTGGGAGGTAATATGCTGGAAATGGATAGGAAGTGGTGAGGGTATGCATGTGCCTATGATAAAAGGCATCACTAATTCTCTGTGGAGTTCTAGGGGCTGTGACTCCTCAAAAAATTAGGACTAAGTGGGAGTGGTGGTATATGATTTTAATCTCAATTCAACACTTGGGAAGCTAGACAGGAAGATTGTGAATTTGAGGACAACCTAGTCTACAGAGCAAGACATTGTATTTTTTTTTTTTAAATGGAGTGACAATATCAACAAAGGAAGTAGCAACACAGTTTAATAGATGTTACAATAAAAGTATGTAACAGCTAAGAGTAATTCAGTGATAGAAAACTTAGCTAGCATGCATGAATTCCTGTGTTTGGCTCTTAGCAATATGCATGTGTACACACACGCACGCACGCACACACGCACGAGAGAGGAAAACAGAAGAGAGAGAATATCTAACTTTTCTTTCTATAAATATTTGATTGCTACCAGAAAGGCTTCTTTGAAAAAGTCATTTGTACATAAAGATTTGAAAGAATAAGAAATGGCAATATCCTTGGAAATACTAATGGGGATTTCTTCTATCCATACTGTCATTAATACTGAATTATGCATGGTAGGTGCTGTACAACTCAGGCCATAAGGCTAACTTTTTTGGGGTGGGGGTGGGAGTCGGGGGGTTGTGATGTGGAAGGGACAAGAGGAGAGAAAAAGGCTAAAAATAAGCAAAGTACAACTGAAAAGATCAAAAGTGAGCTAACAGCATATTATGAACTTTAGTTTTTAATATTTCTTAGTTCAAATCTAGAATTCCAGTCCTTGTTATCTGTGATACTATGGGATGGTAAAACTCTGCAAGCATTACCATTTAATTTGTAACTAATAACTCATTCAGTTCTATGAAGCTGAAATGGAGTAACACATATTTACATGGCTAGCTGTCTCATAGTTTCCCACAGATTATAAGTTAGAAATGACAGAGGCTATGAAAAATACTTTCTGTACCACCTTTGGCAAAGTGGTCAGTATACAGTAGATATACAGTAAGGGCTGACTATCATTAAGCCCTTTAGTATGACAATTTCAGTTATAATAGGCCTATGACCTCAGCACAGCATAACAAGTTTGATAGTAGTTTGAAGAGCTCAATGATTACTAACTAGGGCTAAAGACACAGCTCAGTAACAAGAGTGCTTGCCTAGTCCTGGGTTGAATTTCCAACATCTCAAAAAAAAAAAAAAAAAAAAATTACTGTGTTCTTATTTCACTATGAAACGTTTATTTTAATAAACTGTAATGTGAAGGGCCACAGCAGCTGGTTAGGTGAGATCACTTGCTGTGCAAGCATGAAGACCTGAGTTTACATCCCCAAAACCAGTGACTACTGGAGACTCTAACCCTAACACTTGGTGAAAAGAGGAGACAGGAGGATTGCTGGGGCTTGCTGGCCAGCCTAGCTCCAGGTTCATTGAGATATCCTGCCTAAAAGGAATAAGGCAGAGAATGAGAGGATGATGGATTCACCATCATGATGAACTATACTTTCAGACTGGGAGTCAAAAGAAACCCTTCCTTCAAGATGCTTTTGTTAAGTATTTTGTCACAGCAATGAAAAAAATAATACAATAGACTTTTAAAAGTTATTATAGACTTTTTAAAGTTATCATTTTTGAAAGATCCCTAATAAATCTAATCAGTTGAGTATAATCATAGTACTATGGTGGCAGAGGCATTTATCCAATGAGATAATACTTAAAAAAAATAATAAGCCAGGCATAGTGACACATACACTTAATCCCATCAATTGGGAAGCAGAGGCAGAAAGATTTCAAGGCCAGCCTGGTCTACATAGTAAGTTCCAGCACAGCCAATAATACACAGATAAACCCTGCATCAAATATACCAAAATAGGGCTGGAGAGATGGCTCAGAGGTTAAGAGCACTGGCTGCTCTTCCAGAGTCCTGAGTTCAATTCTCAGCAACCACATGGTGGCTCACAACCATCTGTAATGAGATCTGGTGCCCTCTTCTGGTGTGCAGATATACATGGCAGCAGAATGTTGTATACATAATAAATAAATAAAATCTTTAAAATAAATAAATATATAATTTATTATTATAAATAAATAAATAATAAAAATAAAAATAAGGGAGTGAATCAAATCAGTATAAAGCTACTGCTAGAAGTTTGTGGAAGATGTAACAGAAACTTTGTAGTAGAGAAAAGTGAATTCAGGGTACAAATAAGTGTCATTTGAAAAAATACTGGGTTTTACTTCTACATCATTAGAAAAAGTAACTTGCTAGGCACATACTAGTAAGTGCCAATACTAAGGAGACGAGATCACAAGTTAGAGGCCAGTCCAGGATACAGAGTAACCCACAGGGGGGAAAAAAAAAAAGAAAAAGAAATCTTATTTTACATTAAAGTTCAAGAGCAGTTTCATAATTGTCATACTTGCAAATACCTTAAATCTGAAAAGTCTGAAGAAAGTCTCTAACTGCCTACTAAAACCATTTTATCCACAAAGCAAATTTAACCACTTCACTCTTTCAAACACATGTGCATGAAATAGTACAGATTCTTCCAAGCTAGCATTTTAATTTGGAAAGTCAAAAGAACTGTACATGTGTCATTTTATTTCTCTATACTTCGTGCTCTCAAAGTGTTCGTACCTCTTCAATACCAGCTATATTGTTCACAGCCAGTTTCTTTAGAGAACTCTGAAGCTTTTTGTCATCAGCAGTAGCTGTCCTATGTACTACCTTCTTCTTTCTGCGAGCTGTGCCCTGTAAAACAATTAGACAGAAGTGTCAATATGCATAGTGACTGGCAATAGCAATCACATCCTCCTGGCCACAATCTAAAATCCACATTGGAAAAACTAACCAAACAGCAGTGATTAACTGGAGTTGTGTGATACTCAGCCAACATCTGAAGGGCAGTTGTACTCAGTTCTTATGCTTACTTTACCATTTCAATACATTATGTTTCAAAATATTGTTAATAGAACACAATTTATAATGCTTAAGACCGTCTAATGTGCTTTATAACAACTTTTAAGCATTGTATGCTTTCATAGAATCCCTGTCAGCCCCTGCCAATAAAGTCTGAAGATGATCCAAAATCTTCAGACCTATTATATAATGAGAATCAAATCCCTACTATGTGTGTACTCTAGAGTCTGAGAACCCAGAAAAGAAAAACAAAACAAAACAACCGAGATTTTACTTACTTCAAACAGGGTAGAGTTATTTAAAACAACAACAACAACAACAACAAGAAAAAAAACAAAAAACCCCACAAAACTAGAATGGTAAAAGAGCAAAGCACAATTTTACTAGAAATGAGACCCATGACCAGGGAGGAGTGATCCAAGCAGAATGAAACAAGACTGAACTTGTCTTCTAGACAGAGAGGCAGGGCCAGTGTCGCTGCAGCAGAGTGAACAATGAGGGAGGAAGAAGTAAATGAACCAGACAGACGGATATACAAGGGCCACATCATGTAGATTAGATCTCATGGGCAGGTGCTCAATTTTATTCTAATTGCAATAGGAAGCTCATCTGACTTGTTTATTCCCACCTAAGGTTGCTTCAGGGAAACTGGACCTAGAGGCTATGAGACCAGTCAAGGGGTTGGGGCACAAGTATGGTGAGAGATGAGGAATGGTCACAGAGACAAAGTGACTTCTGATGGTGTAGATGTGGGATATGACAGTAAGTCTTAGGATTTTGTCCTGAAGCTAAAAATAATACTATTTACTAAGTCAGAAAAAGCTCATTTCTGTATTGATAATTAGAAATACAGGGGTGGAGACATGGCTCAGTGGTTAAGCTCACTTGTTGCTCTTCTAGAGGATGCTAGTTCAAATCCTAGCCCCATGTCAGGCAACTCACAACTGTCTATAACTCCAGCTTCAGGGGATCCAACACTGGTTCCTAATGACATCAGCAGGCACAGAGACATATATAAATAAAATTTAGTATCAGAGCCGAAATACTAACAAAAGCATACATTCTGAGGTTAGCTTTTTCTGAAATAAGGAGGGATAGACAAATGAGGTCTTTAGTCTCCTAGTAGCTCCTTCAGCAGTCCTCAGGAACTCAGTCTTACTGAAGAAAGGCTAGGGTTTCCATCTCAGCAATTCCAGTGGGAGAAAAACACTCTGGTTGCAAAGGTTATGAGGACATTCTGTTGCTAACAGAACTTTACATAGATGGTCATTTATTTGTGAAGCATTTCTAACTCAAGGATAGCTTAGCTGCTTGCTCTGTATTTTTGTACAGGGTCTTGCTATTTAGTGAGGCCATTGTGGCTAATATGTGTGTTACTATGACTCCACATCATCTAATTTTGTCACCATCAGAGACAAGTACTGGTCACTTCTTCCCTTCTCCCTCTATTGCCTCCACCCTCAAGAGTTGTAGTTATGATCAATGTAAAGCACAGTAACTACTGTTATATAGCGTCCTCTCTGTCCTTTCTCCAGAGTGATCTACATATGAAGTAAATATTGGTCTTTCTTTCTCTTTTGCAAATATTGTACTAGGCAAATATGAGCCTCAGGCCACAACTGAAGGGAAATGAAAATGAAGGTTTTGGTGCTCACAACTTCCTGAGGCTTTAAAGTATGCAGAATATAGAAACTTATGTTCATGATTCACAGTGTGGAAGAAAAATTAGGCATCTGGGAGGAAAACCTGACAATTCACAAAATGTATATCCACTTCAAACATCCCCAGTTAAACCCCTTGTGCACCTAACCTAGGTCCACCTAATATCTATCATTCCCTGCAAGAGAGACAGCATAGCTACCATTTATTTATCATGCACCTTGTGTCATAAACAATTCTCTGATTTTTCTTTTTCTTTTTTTTTTTTTTTTTAGGTTTTCAAGACAGAGTTTCTCTGTGTAGCAAGGCTGTCCTGGAGCACACTCTGTAGACCAGACTGGCTTCAAACTCAGAGATCCGCCTGCCTCTACCTCACAAGCGCTGGCATTAAAGGCTTGTGCCACCACCGCCCAACCAATGCTTTAATTTTTAGAAGCACTTTTTTTATAAGTTATTTCTATTTTTCAGATCAAAATAATGAAATTGGTAACTTACTCATGTCACATAAGCAGACATTGAATGTTGGGACTCAGGGGCTGGGGAGATGGCTCAATGGTTAAGCACAAGCATGAGGCCCAGTCTGGATCCCCAGGACCCACATAAAAGCCACAATCCCTGCATGTGGGAGGTGGAAGCAGCTGGCAAATGACCCTGCCTTGATACATAATGGGAGAACAAGTGAGAATGGCCTCTCCCCACATCACCCTTGGGTCTCCACCTGCTGTGCCCTTGAACATTTGAGTACACCCCCCCTCCACACACACCAAAATTAAAGTGGGGGAGGGGTCAAACAAAGGTGTCTATTTTCATTACCATCGGAGAGAAAGTCTTCTAGTTACCTGTTTCAGAAGGAGACAAATTGTTATCAAATAGGAATGTGGTCTGATTTTAATCACTAAAAAGACTTTGGACTCAATGACCACAAATACAAAGTAGTAATACTATCTCACAATCATACGTTGTCCTACCAGTTTGTCTTACACCACACTCACCTTGCCCCCTATCCGGACCTGAGCTTGAAGTTTGGCTAACTTTTCTTGATTCATGCTGTTGGTAAATCTAGGGGGGAAAATAGATTTGTTAAATTAACTGTTTTACCAAAGTTAAAAACTTATTTATACAAACAATACCTTTTGTTTGACTGAGCTTGTAGTATGCATTAACAATATCACTACTATCTATATTCGTTAATAGTGATAACCTATTCTAGCTTCACAAACCAATTTTTTAAAAAAAATTAAATACCACACGGGAGTCAAATATACAAATAGCAAATGAATGGGATTCAAGTCGCCTATTTAAAGATCCTTTCTTAAAACATGACTCAGTTTTCTAGCACTCAGAAAAACTTAACTAATTATGAAATCTCAGTGGGCAAGCAGGCTTTTTCTTCCAGAGACTTTCAAAGCAGAGAACAGTTACCCCCAATGGTATTAGCAAAACCTTCAAGGAGACTGTTTTCTCTGGGATCACATTCTGTATTTCTTTTAAAGGATAAATATGACACAAAGAAAAAAGGCTAGGCAAAGAAGAAATTGAACAATGGGCTGTCAGGCTGTCAAAATACAAGCAAGTCAAGTCCTCTATTCAAGGTCAGATGTGTTAATAATGGGAAACTACCAGATTTCCAGACACTGGCTGATTCAGCAGCACCGAGTTCATTCTAGACCTGGCACTGACAGAGTATGTCACACTTAATAAGGTATTATTGCATATAGGGTAAAATGTTTCACTGCACAATTTGACAAAGATGTATCTTGGCTACTGTAATATTAAGTTGGTGGGGAGAGGGAAAAAATAAGCTTTTCTAGCAAATTTTGACTTTTGAAGATTCTAAGGACTTTATAAAACCATGAATTCTAGTCTAGTCAGTGACACTCCTGCTAAGGAGAACAACGTTCCATGCTCTAGAAACAAGTAAAAACTAATTCAGCAGTCTTGTTTGACTTGATCTGTGGCTCACCAGATCATTGCTGAGATGTAAAGGAGAGAATAAGGGAATAGGCTGTTATTAAACTTAAATAAAAAAAAAAAACTAATTCTCTAACCTTGTAATTGCATCATTCAGATGAGAAGGGTGCCATTTTTTACATTTGAAAACAGAAAAACAAAAACAAAGGAGAACCAAAGCATGTAAATTACTAACCATTCCGAACTGGCATTGGACTTAGGGAACTGACCTGTATATATCACTGCTGTAAGACTGACTCCATTTCCCAAATAAAAATTAGAACCCATGGCTTCTTACTTTGTTCAACACTCTATCACGATGGTCAAGCAGCTACAACTCTTGTATAGGAGGAGCTGTGTGTAGAATCCAAAGTCTTAGATATGTGCCAATCTTAGCTGTGGCATAGACTTAAATTTGCTGACATAAACCTCAATTTTGTATTCAAACATTCACAAAAGAACTAATGTTCACTTTCCTCAAAGGACTACAGCCATGAAGGTATAGTGAAATAAAAAAGCATTTACATTTCTTGAAAAGAGGAAGTCAAGAGAAAATATTAGAACTAAACACAGGAGAAGCCCTTTGGGAATATTCTGCATTTTTAGTAATAATCCCAAAAAAGAGAGATGAAGGTTGGAAAGACAGGACAAAGAGTCCAGACTTGTTTGAAGCAAAAGCAAATTCTTTCTTATGTTGTAGAGGAAAGAATGATTCCATTCCAGGTGGTCAGGGTTACAGAATTAAGAAATCTTATCCTAAGGTGTACCTGGGGGGTGGGAGGGGCGGAACTTTAGGGAGCTTGGGAGCTTAAAGCAGGAGGGGAGGGAGAAATGTGGCCTTTTGCCTCTCAGCTGTTGGGCTGTGTATGATTCAAGTAGGAAAGATTTAGATTCATTTTAAACTCTACTCGGTTTTTTTAATTGTACCTGTCATTCTTGTTTTGTGTGTGATACCATCTCAGATATCTGTTAGTACAGCAGGGCATAAGTTATAAACAAAACAGCCTTTTCTAGTTTAACCGAAAATGAAGGCCTGGAAAGTTCCTTTTTGTGCCCCAAAGGGAGAAACAACTTCCCGGGCCACATGATCAGAGTTGAGTCTCCCAGAATCCTTTTTGCACTTGTCTCAAGGACTTCCGAAAGAGTATAATGAGATGAATCAATATTTATTGAATGCCCAAGTTCAGGTACTTACACATAAATCATGTTTACACAAAGATAAAAATAATTTGAACTTTCGGCCCTGACTTTTTAATGTGAGGTTCTCTAATAGTAGCAAAAGCTGTGGAAACATTCAGAAAGCCCAAGGTTTTACCTCTTAGGGTTTTGGAAAGGTATTTAACTCTTTTGAACTCATTTGTTTTTCCTGCACTAAGAAAAGTATACCACCACATACTTTATTGGGTGGAAGGCTATTATCAAGTTAACGCAAGGTACTTAATAGTTGGTAACTATTGTTACCACTCACTCTTCCAGAGGACCACTGATGGTATAATCAAAGAACGTGGGAACGGAAGTTGAAACCGCCATTCACCAACTGTGTAACACTGTGCCTGGCGATCAGTCATCGGTGTGATGAGGTTATAAGGACTGGCTAACTGTCTCAAAACCAGGGTAGACTTGTAAACAAACACTGCCACTAAAAAGTGGAGAGCGCTGCCACCTAGTTCGGGCCCAAGAGGTTGGGGGCCGGGAGCTAACCTCAGTTTCCCTATCCGTAGACTGGGAGGAGCAAATGGGATGAGAACAGATAAGCTGTACAAAGCTCACAGCGTCTGACATCGTTGTTGTGAATAATGAGTGATGGGACGTGGAGGGGTCTACCCTCCTGGGTGTGGTCCTGTGAGGCCAGAGCCCGGGCCTGGTTCCTCCACAGCGG